GTTTTAATTTGAGGGCGGGGATTACGTAATAACTCTATCTGACCCAGGCTTAACACTCTAAAGCCTGAATAAGTATAATGGAAGTCGGGACGCTTACAACACTGGCATAAGCACGTACGCATGCGCAGAGTAGATAATTGTCTTATTTTCGGTTCCATACCTCTTCGATCGGCACGCGTTCAAACAAGATGGTGGACTCATGCTTATGCTTGTGCTAGTGTTGTAGGTGTCCTCACTTACGTTATGCTTATGTTGGTGCTGTGATTATGTCGTAGCAAAAACCAGGCTTTAGCACCGAACTCAGGGTAAAATGGACTATTGTACTTATTGTTAAGCTAAGAAATAACCGGATAGACTTCAGTGATTCAAACCTGTTCTAAAGAATTCAGTCCTCCTTCGTTACCCTTTGCCAACATGTCTTGAAAAATAACTTTGTGCACAATCTGAAAAAGGGGTCAAAGTAGTTTGCTCAGTTGATATATTTAATAGTCTTGCAGCGCCGTAAATATTCTGGCACTAGAATATAGTAATTTATTTGTTTATTATTTACTGATCAGGATACAAATTCATCGATCATAAGAAGGCGATCATTGTCAACAAAACTGAATTATCAAAACCTGCTGAAACTGTAACTCAAAATTTCCGTTCTTTAGCAAGAAGTGGAGAATCTCATTGAACGAGAATGCTAAATTTCCTGTGTTCTCCGTACCTTGAAAATGTTCCCCTGAGCTATCAGCAGGGCTTGACGAAGAGTTAACACTCACTTTTAACTTTCATAGTATTGAACAACTAATGCAGCATACTTGAGCACTTAATGTCTGTGGCAGATGACAGAGTCAGCATATTCTTCTCTGCCATGTTATTCTACTTCATTTAAGGGCCTAGGACATGGTATCTCATGTAATTCTGTTTATTTTCGGTGTTGACAAGCTATAAACTTCAAATTAACAAAGCAACAGTCTGTTTATTGGCAAAATCACAGCCACCTAACAAACGAGGATGATTTTTCGACCTTTATAAATTACACTTTCACAAAAATTGAACTCAACTTGAAAAAGGTCGGGTGGATGTTTTTGAAGTTCTATCCCAATGCAATCCGTTTTGATCTTCTTCATTTGTGCCAATCCATGCCTCTTTTTGGCCTTTTTTCGTGTTTCTTTAAATTGTTTATACAGTTTAAAATCGTTATTTATATATCGCGAAAATGAACAGTTACAGTGGTTAAATATTACCTCATCTTGACAAAGCTGTTTAATGTCCCCTTCAAGTCCATTGCTCTTAGCCCAGGTCTGAAGCACTTCAGCGTCCGGGACAGCAATCGCTACGAGGAAGGACTGGAAACAACACAAACAACGTCATTACAAGCTGTTTGTATGTACACTAGGGAGTGGCGTAAGGAATGAATTTGGAAATTTTACGAATTCAAATTATCTTTTCGTTCAGTTCCTACGCACCTGGCCCCGATTGTTCAAAGAGTGGATAAAGCCATCCACCGGATAAATCACTATCCAGTGGATAGCGTGATTCGTTTTGACAACGATCATCTACTGGCTGGTGATTTATTCGATGGATAGCGTTATCCACCCTTCGAACAACTGGGCCCTGGATGGAATTTTGCGTCTTCAAATTTTAATGTGCACAAATAAGAAACTTATCGATTGAAATGTAGCCTGTGTACAGGTTCTTTAGTCGAGGACGGGGCAAAGAGAGAGCGGGACGAAAGAGGAGAGAAGAGAAAAGAGAGAAGAGACAGAAGGAGAGAGGAATGGGGAGACGCCCCAACCCCCACCCCATTCCCTCTCCGCCACGTCTCTCTTAGCCAGTTCCTTCTCGGCCCTTTCAGCCGCGGTCAGACCCTTCCTGCTAGAACCTGTTAACAAGCTAATTGAAATGTCGCGAAATATTTTTTTCCTCAAGGCCCGCGGGCCTCGAATTCTTAACCCCAGTCTTCCTCTGAAACTCACCTTGTAACTGTTTCCATAGACAAACACCTGCGCTATGAAAGGACTGCGCAGGTACACGTTCTGAATTTTCTCAGGAGCGATAAACTCACCCTGTGATATAACAGAATGGTTCACTTTAATGTCGATCACAATTTTCAAGGAAAACAAGAAAGCAAATAAACAAGACAGACCAATGTATACCGTAAATCCTCGAATTAGCGCCCGGGGCGCTTATTGGAGGGGGAGCGCTTAATCGAGGGGTGCGCTTATTTAATTTTTCCCAAATCGTGGCCAGACATGATCATTTTTTTAATTCATCATCTGCGCGTAAACAACAATATAAGCTGTTTATTGGCATAAAGAGCTGATCCTAAAGTTTTAATCGCAGCACTGTTAGTACTTAACGTGTTTAACGTGTTCACTTAACGTGTTCACAAACTAAAACAATGTCCAAATCTAATACGTGACGAAAACCATGCGTCTTTTGTTGTCTCATTACTCGTCCACAAAATGGGGGGGAGGGGGAGGGAAGGGGGACGCTTATTCGAGGGGGGCGCTAATTCGAGGATAATGAGTTAATTAAAAAGCGAAACTAACAAACAAGTCGGTAAATAGGGAGATACTATGAACAAATAGAAAGAAAGAAAGAACTGTATAATTTCACTGGTAATACAGTCGAACCTCCTGTTGCGACCACCTCTCCTCAGCGACCAGTTTTCCAAAATACCAAAAGTTTCCAAGTCAAATCACTATATTTGGAACCTGTTGTAAGCGACTTCTTATCGTAAGCGACCGCGACCACTTTCAGAGCTAAAAAATTGAATTTTTCTTTTGTTTTTAACCTCCCGTTAACGACCACTTTACAGGTAATAGGGCGAAGATTGAATAATAAGGCGTGGTAACATTATCGCATTCCGGCGTAGTACAAGAGACGAAAATTTCTAAATGAGAAGTGCCAGATTTGTTTCGAAATTGACCTAATTTTCACGTGAATAAAAATTTAAAACATGAGGTAAACCACCTTGTAATTTTGACCCAAAATGGTCTAAGCTTTCGTAAGCGCTTTCGGAAGGTTCGATTGTATTAGTAACATCATGCATTTCAAAAAAAGTGAAAATAGATCTCATAAGCCTTGAATGAAGTGAGTGACCAAATTCTCCTTACTGACGGTGTTAAAACATTTGGAAATAGATCAGGAGAGTTTCAACCTTCATCATAGATAGACAGACACCTTTATTTGAAAGTAAAAATCTAAAATCATAAACAAGAAAAAAACTCCTTGCCTGGGAAAGTTTGAATATGTTTTTCTTTCGATCGATAATTTTCAAAGTTCCATTCTGCAAATTTAAAGAACAGGATAGGACAATAGTTAATAAGATAGTCGCATGATATTTATGGCGAGATGTCTCGTTATGTAACGTTCTCGTTCCATCCTCGTTACGTTATCGTGCATCCTTGTTACGTCATCGTTACAATTTCGTTAAGATTTGTTTACGTCTGAGCTACACACGTTATAACTACGCCCTCTTTGTCTCCTCGTGAGGATCTCGTTGGGTACTCTTAACGTCTTCAGATCTCTTTTCCTCGTGAGTTCCTCAGGCTCTTCTTTTTGGCGTCAAGTTGTTGTCACGAGTTCGTTGTCGTCTTTTCTTTGGTCGTTACGTCCTCGGTAGATGTAGACTCACTTTGTGTATAAAATGTACGGGTTCTCAATGGAGTTGTTTTTTTTTGACTTGGTATTTCTATAAAATACCACAAAAGGGAATCTATTGAATCACAGTAACTTTCAAGCATTTAGGGACAATCTCAAAACACATCAATGGGGCGACTTGCACCTTTTACAAGGTTATTTATTATTGAAGAAGGAAACAAAAGGTTAAGAACACAAACAATGCCCTTCGCCCTAGGAACAAAAGAAGTGCAGATAAACAAGAACAAATGAAAAGAAAGGTTTTAAACTTGTGCAGATCAACCGGTATCAACGGCTTGCAAGTCATTGAAGACATAACATCTAAGACCGGAAGTTTCACATTACCGGAAGCCATTCTCCTACGTCACCAGTATGGAGCCAACCGTCCTCGTCGATAGTTTCAGCGGTCTTTTCAGGGTCGTGAAGATAACCCTTGAAGACGCTAGGACCCTTAAGGCAAATCTGTAATGGAGAAAAACGATTACTGTTTTCTACGTCCGTTGTTTCACGTCGAGGTCAGGATAGAGTCTTCGTGTTGGAGCTTTAAAAAGATCTTTGCCTTAATCTGTCGTCAGTAAATATGGATTCGACTCAGTAAAAAAAAACCTCTCACTGCTACAAAGGCGATAACCATGGAAAAAACCAATTGATCACAAGGCAAGGCCGGATATTGGTTTGTTAAAAGCAGTTTAAACTGAGGCCAGAACGCGTATGTCGAAGCAGCTCAGTAAACAGTCAGCACTTTTTGCAACACTTTATAGTTCCTTTCCAGAATCAGATTATCATTAAATTTGGCCTCATAAATACCGATGAACAGAAAGATCGATAAATTGAGGGTTGATTCGCAGTGGCGAATCTAACGGAGGGGCCCGGGAGGCCCGGCCCCTTATTTTGGGTCAAAAAAAAAAAAGAAATCACAGAAGGAAGAAAAGCAGGCAGGGCAATGAAAACAAAACCGGCCCTGCCCCCTCTTAGCTCAAGGTCAGGATCCGCCACTGATTTGTCTGATTATTTTTGCTTATACAAAGAAGTAAATTAGATAAAAATGAAGCTCCACTATCATACCTCCCCCTGCCCATTTTTAGCGAAGTATGCCTTTTCTTCCACGTCCACAAGTTTAATGATGTTAGAAGGAACTGGAGGGCCCACGTGACCGGCTACAGAATGAAATGAAATAGAAAATCATCGAATCATCCAATTAATAAATCGATCATGTCAAACATTAATTAATTAATTAATTAATTAATTAATTCATTCATTCATTTAATCAATCAATCAATCAATATATCAATCAATCAGTCAATTACCAATCAGTCAGTTATCCGATCGGTCGGTCGGTTAGTCAGTCAGTCACTCACTCAATTAGTCGGTCAGTCAATTGGTCGATCGGTCGTCCAATTAATCAAAAAAGTAAATGATACATGAGTGAAGAGGAAACAAAACAAAACAAAACAAAAAAAACAACAGTCGACAGACCTGTGGTGAGGTCATTATACAACTGAAAGGTCGCAGCTGCTGCGCACTCGGTCTGACCGTAGCCCTCAGTCAACTGAGAAAGACAATGACAGATTCATTTGGTGTGATCGTACAAAAATATGAACTGGAAACGCAAACCGTGCATTGACAAGAATCCTACAGTTAAGTAAGAAGAATCAAAGAAACGTGCATATATAAACAATAGTCTCCATTTGGCCCGAAAATATGCTTGGATATTTGTCCGCGGACATTATCTGTTCCTCGAAGCTCACAGTTTTCCGAGAGCGTAGAGTTTATTATTCTTCAAATGTTTTTCGCAACACGTGCGGTTTTGAAAATTGGGAAATATCACTCGGATATTCCCCAGTTTTAGCTTGGAAATATTCAGTCACGTGATGCGTTTAGACCAATCGCACGCGACCGAAAATATTTGATGATTATAAAATTACATATATCACTGATGAACTCACGTAACATCCCATGACGCATCTAATGAATGACGTCACTTTGGCTGACAAGGGCGCTGAGCCACAAGGCATATATCGCACACGACCTCCAAGAAGATTCTGTAGTAAAAATCAAAAGTAATAAAAACCTTCTTAGGGTTTTTGACAGAGCAACGTGCTGAGAATAATTTTAAAGCTTAAATGAGCCTCAACCTAGACAACGTCGGCACTTATTCATGATTACGTCAGGTGCACAAACTTCACCCGTCCCCCTCCACTCTCAAGCTTTCGTAATATGATCACGATCAATGGCTGACTGCCTTACCTGTACTTTACGAAGGACCAAGTAATCCCATATCGTGTTCTTGCTGATGATTCGCCTACGACAGTTAAACACAAGCAGTGAAAAAATAATTGGCATAGGCAAACATCGACCATGACACGAAAAAACAAGAAAAGCGTGCGAATTAGTAATTTTATCCACCTCCTAATGTGGAGAGTGGCCCGGGGTCGAGCTAATAAAAGAGGTAGAGGGGTGGGTTGGCGGTTAGGGGAAGGGGGGAGGGAGAGGGGACCCTAATAGTACTCTTACGGAATACTGCATGAAGTTTTCTGGCTTACTTACCTTTTAAGATCACTTTCTTTGGACCTCAACGCCATTTGGAAAATCCACCTTTTTAGCTTGCTCTTGGACACTCCCGACATGACCTGTTTACGTACGAAACAAAATAACACTGAAGAGCGTGTTAAGTCGAATCACAATGGTTGATGATTTCCATATTCTCTTCACCTCTCGACTTGAAAATATGTTGATATTGCAAGGAGAAACACAATGTTAATGAGTGAAATTATCAAAATAAATATAGTTTTTTCATTACCTTGTCATAGATTCTGTTCAGTAAACGTGGAACTGCTGAAAAAATCGTCGGCCTGTGAAGACAATTCATCATAGGGGAATTAAACGAGACAGAAAATAAACAAATTACCTACGGATCGTTAAAGACAGAAGTTAGCAGACTACTTCGTCGATCTGTGACGATTCCCCCCTTAACTAAATTCTGCAGAAAATAATTGTTGTGCTTTAGTTGCTTCTCTTTGAAAAATACTCATTGGGGGGCAACAGAGTATATTTTTTAAAAGAATCTCTGTCATAAATGGCGCATCAAAAAAATTTAGCGTCAAACTTCAAGTTGGCCTATTTGTTATTTGTCTCAAACATAACAATCCTTGTTTCTTGTTGTTATAGTTTTACCTTTTTAGTGTTTTAGTCTTAGAAAAAAATTCAATTTAATTTAATTTGAGGCTCCCCTCGAAATAATTTTGTAAGCTCCTTTAAACTTACTTCAGTTCTTTGCAGTCTTCGAGCAGTCGTTTGATGTCCCCACTGTAGTACCCAATTCTTGCTCCGCTCAGTAATAGATTCAACTGAAAGGGTAATTGAATTAACCTTTACATTTCTCATCACTGAGAGAGTTAAGTTGATATTTTCGGATGTGTGGGTAGTGGCCTTGCAATGGTACTCGGTAAAGGGATTGCTCTATGTAGAACTATGTCGAAAGAGAGCTCAGAGAGAGAGAGAAATTGGAAAGTGAAAGTATTGTTCCACCACAAATGCTCATTCTAACTTTTGGTTGAGTAGAAATGAATTACTTCCGTCCGCGGAAAACAAAGAGCTTTCTTGGTCAATATTCTACCTCCAAACATTGGTCGCCGCTGTAGTCATTGCAGTGGAGGTTTCCTAAGCTAATGCAAAGCTTATTCTGTAAAGTTGACGAGTCATCGTGTTAAAGAGGGCGTCATTTCCTTATTAATTAAACGAATCCTTGGATTAGTGTTACGAGGATCTATCGCTTGTTTCCACATGTGTGTGCGTGAATTGATGCGTGACTCAGTACTTACGTGATTTATTCGTTCATACATGTGAGCCAGCGGTAAAAATGACAGGTGCACATCCTCAGGCGTCAGCTCAAATCCAGTCTGTAATGATATTAAAAAAATGATCTCGGCTTACGTGTATTTCCTGCCACTGATGTTTCTATTGTTTGTTTATGCCACGAAAAGTGTCTACATTTCTGGAAAGGGTGTTAAAGCAGAACTGAACTCCATTTGCTTGGAATGGAAGTTGAAACAAAGGGAGTAGTTTGCTTGGAGTTGAGAGCCTTTATATTGGTGCATGGGGTGGAGGGGGGTGGATAGGGGTGAAGCCTGTATGCAGGGAATTGCGTAGAGATGGTGGAGAGGTGGAGGCGTGGAGGGATGGAGGGGTTGGAGATGGTGGAGGGGTGGAGGGGTGGAGGGGTTGGAGATGGTGGAGGGGTGGCGGGGGGAGGTTCCCGACTATTCACCTTGAAATGTGATAGGAGATATCTAAATGCCTGCACAGATGCATACCTGACGCATATGTACGCGGTAAGCCGAGATATCAGCTACGAGATTGGCATGTGTCAGAATCGCTCCCTTAGGAGGTCCTGTCGTCAAGATAAGAAGGCAAATATTTGGTTAAAAACCACAAGGCCTCTTAGACCGGCGCAACATAACAGTAGCCTGCTCAAATAGACGTCAGTTTGGATTTTTAAACACCAATGTTTGAGTATGAGATTCAATACTCCCTTGAAATTTTTTTCAAAGAAACGAAAAGTTTCTTGGTACAAATGCAATTTTCCCGCCCTTCAAGCTTGGCCAGCGCTGGTGTTGCTAGGCAACCATGTGACGCCAAAAACAAAAAAAATTGCGATGAGCGGAACGTTCTAAAAATATCCTTCCGATCATGATGCTGGCCAGGGATATGTGACAAAAAAAAAAAGCCAGCGGGGAGTTTCACGATGGCAAAATAAAGTTGTCCTGCCTTCCGCAATTAGTCAAAATTACTCTGAAGCTAACGTCTTCCTCTTGGGTTTCGGTAATGCTTTCAGTGAGCTAGACATGTATCAGGGAACCGGTGCAGTGGCCAGGGTTTTTTTTGCTATCTACCAATGACGGAGACTTAAATTTCACCAGAGCTGGAAAAACCTCGCCAACAGATCTGTAACAGGTATGTTCAAAACTCAGCTAAACTCAAAATAGCTGATAATCCCATTTAACAGATTCGATGCTGAACAATACATTTTCATTTTTGACCATGAATTTCATTCTTAGGCTATATTTCAAAACAAATATTGAGTGAAAGTGGAAAATTGTTCCCACAGTTTAGTGGAACGGTAATAGAAAGAAAAAGTGTCACTTACCAGTTGTCCCACTTGTGTAACACACAGTTAAAATGTCCTCTGGTTTAGCTGGCTAGAGTAATAGCAAAATAGTTAGCCAGTTTGTCTTATACCGGTTGGTAATTTATCACCTTAACAATGATAAAGGCAAATTAACGCCATGGAGTTGACGTTTTGGGCGTTACCCTTCGTCAGAATAAGACCATTTCCTCTGACGAAGGGTTAACGTTCAAGCCGTCAAATTCAAATGCTCGTTATGGCGGTTAATTTACTTGATCAACTTCAAGTTGATAATTAGCTAAATATTTCACTTGTTGCCGCCTTTATTTAGTATTGCACCGGCACTACTTAATGCCAAGCTTGAAATATCAATTCTCCCTTTTGCTTACCATAAATGTGTTNTACCGTGGTTTATAATGTAAATACATTCTTCAGTGCCGTGTGCGTCATAAACAGGAACTGATATCATGGAAAACATCTGACAGCCAAGATCAGTCAAGGTCCACTGAAGAAAAAGCAACAAGTAAAGACAAGCCCTCTATGTACGGCACCAGCCCAGCAGAAGCGGTGAGCTTACGATGATACAACGCAATGGAGGGCGTGTTTAATACATTTATTTTACATTGTAGTCACCATCTGTCTTCTCATTGGTTAAAAGCCTACAGTTAATTTTGGGAAACAGCACAACCTACAGATTATTCACTAATCTATTGGCAGATTAGTGAAGCCTTCGGCTTCGGCTGATAACACTTACCTCGACCTTAATTATTCCGGATATCACAAAAACCTCATCCGATAATTGTTTAGAAATAGCGAAATGACGAGATGGCACTTCGGTTAGCCTGAATAGGGCTCAGGTTAGCCTAAGTGTGTGGACTGAACATATCACTTTATTTGTGCGCAAAGGCCTGTTTGAACATCTTAGAAGAGTCGTGACGAATTGAACAGTTTACCTCCACCCGGTTAGGTCCGTAAATACCAATGAAGGTCTTTTGCGAGGGCTCACAACCAATGGCAACCAAGCCTGCGCCAACGTAGGTCGCCCGCTCATGAACCTAGCCAGAAACGAACGCACAAAGTTGAACTGCGGCTAATCTATTAGATCCTTTCATCCTACTAAACGATCAAACATTTTGAGAAACCCAGAATGTTAGATAAAAATAATTTGATCATTGAGCTCATGGATATGGTGCATACATGTTATCAGCGTAGAGGCTGTACAGGGTGAATACCACTGAGTTTTGCCTTGACAGTACTGAGGAAAGGAGCGAGGCGAAGGAAAGACAGGACTGACCGAAAGTCGTTATCCGGCTTATACGGCCCAAACGAGCAAGTCGAGAAATATCTGAAATCTTCCACAAAACTCTCAGTTGCGACAAAATAAGTACGGATATGGATTTGCCACTTTTTAAAACCAACTACAGTGTGTAAAATGCAGATGTAAATCCTATTTATAGTGATCATGCACTTAGCTATACAAGCACCAAGCTTAGCTAGTTTACAGGCATGCCACTGCAAAAGTCGTCCCCTACCCTCTCTAAGTCAGTTATAACAAATCATTTGGCATCGTTTCGCTGTCGTTTTATAACAGAGAAAACAGAGACAAGTTACAATACTTTCTATGCTTAAACAAGTAGCAGTAAAGAGACGGATGGTAGCATTTTTCCTAGGGTTGTAGGTAAAACCAAAAAAAAGGAAAGAATCCTTTTCAATTTGGACTCAGAACTGCGACACACGACGCAGTGTATGTCCCACTCACCTGGTTATATGTAAGCCACGTATATTTCTTGATGTCTGGGTCCCAAGTCCCCAGACAAGGACCGTCACCTAATCGAGAAAAGATACAATTATTTGTAAACTTTCCTTTTGACAGAGCAAACTATATACAACTGAAAGACGCAATATGAACATAGGCCCGGTCCACACTACACCTAGGATTTTGAAAAAAGGGATTTCACTCTGAAAGCGCATCAAATTTTTTCCGTCCACACTACGCCGGAGGCATTCAAAAACACATCAATCACCGATCATTTTGGATTTGTGTTTGAGGAAAACTCGGTCACGGAAATCATATGGTTAACGTGGCTAATTCGTTTTCGAAAAGCTCCGTTTGCAAAATGTTTGCCGCGTCCATGCGAAAACGAAAAGCCGGCGTTTTCAAAGTCCTCCGGTTTGAAGTGCGTTTTCGGAAAGCTCCGTTTTCGTGACGGATTACTGTGGACGGTAGGCCTAACCGTAGAGGTAAAGCTGCGTTTTCAAATTCCTCCGGCGTAGTGTGGACGCCGCCATAATAAAAGCGTCTTTTGACCGGGAAAGAATAAGCGGAACTCTTAATACACATTTTATGTGACGAGTCGTCTAGACGAGCAATTTTTCGTATGTGACAACTTTTTTTTATTTGTCCTCAGCAAACTGATATTTGTCACATAAAAACTGGCCAATTTTCGTCCTCTACACGAGCAAATAAAAATTGTCACGTAAAAATTGCTCTTATAGACGAGGATTTACTTTTTTTGTGTTTCATAACGCCGTTCTGCTTATTAGACGGAAAGTTTTAATGTGTCACGTTGTTACTCAGTTAGACATTTCCAAATAAAGCCTAAAAATCATTATTTGACACATAATATTCTTTTCGATGCTGATGCTGACTCTCCTTAACGATAATAAGATCCTTGAAAGAACCTTTTGGATTTATTATCGGAATTTTGGTATGATGAACAGACGAAGAACGATAGCAAAAGAAGGAAAGCAGATAGATCAACAGAAATGCGTAAGCTCACTTACTGAGTGTCGCTCACCTGAAATTTTAACACCG